CTACTAATTTTTACTTTTCTCGACTTTCGTGTCAAAAGTGATTTCCCCCCTTTTATACACTAAAAACACTTATTTTTCCAAACACTACCAACTTTTACTTTTCAAAATCATTTTTTTCTCAAATACTATCAACTTTTATTTAATCACTTTTCCTAAAAATGCTTTTTTTAAGGAGTTGTTGTAAACACTGTCGTACTCTATTAAAGAAGGGAAAAGGGGCAAAACCCCCCTGAACTTATCACCAAAGGGTACTTAAGCCCTTAAACTTTATTTTAGAATGCATGAAAAGAGAGCAATTCCCCCCTTTGCTTAACGGTTCATGCAGCTACCGTTAAAGATCTCTCTTGGCTACCATGTGTACGTACTCCGTATAAAACATGAACCGTGCAAGAAGTTGTTTTTTTTTATTAAAATATTCAATTGGTAAATTAGTAAATAAATTAGTAAAACATGAATCGTGCTTTTTTATTAAATACTTCGTATTCAACTACTGTTCGAATTTACTTCAAATTAGTAATTTACAAAATTAAGTTATTAAATTTTGAACACAAAATTACAGTCACTAATAATTACTAAGCAATATTTTTATTCATGACTTTTTATTAGTAATAATTAAGGAAAACACCGTTTTCATAATTACAATAACAAACCAATTACTAATCGACTTATTAAGGACTAAGGACATGTTTACTTCACCGGTTATTAAACGGTGCTTATTAAGACCCGTGTTAATAAGCAGCGCATAAAATAAACAATGTTGTAAGATCGTGTTTACTTCAAACGGTTTAAAACACCGCTTAACATTAAAATGTCTAAAATAACCCTATACATATATATACACACAAACATTCATGAACACAAGTATATAATATAATATGTGTACCCATACCCCTAACCCCTTACCCACCCTACCTTACCCCGACCCCACCCACCGCCTACCCCTACCCCCTACCCCTACCCTACCTACCTGACCCCACCCTACCTACCCGACCCCACCCTAACCTGTCCCCACCCTACCCTGGGTAGGGGTGGGGTGGGGTCGGGGTAGGTGGGGTAAGGGTAGGGTGGGGGTCGGTTAGGTAGGGTAGGGGTGGGGTCGGGGTGGGGTAGGGTAGGTGGGGGTAGGGTGGGGACGAGGTAGGGTGGGGGTCGGTTAGGTAGGGTAGGGGTGGGGTAGGTAGGGTGGGGTCGGGGTGGGGGTAGGGTAGGGTAGGGGTGGGGTGGGGTCGGGGTAGGTGGGGTAAGGGTAGGGTGGGGGTCGGTTAGGTAGGGTAGGGGTGGGGTAGGTAGGTGGGGTCGGGGTGGGGTAAGGGTAGGGGTGGGGTGGGTGGGGTCGGGGTAGGTGGGGTAAGGGTAGGGTGGGGTCGGTTAGGAAGGGTAGGGGTGGGGTCGGGGTGGGTAGGGGGGGTGGGGTCAGGGTAGGTGGGGTAAGGGTAGGGTGGGGGTCAGTTAGGTAGGGTAGGGGTGGGGTCGGGGTGGGGGTAGGGTAGGTGGGGTAAGGGTAGGGGTGGGGGTCGGGGTAGGTGGGGTAAGGGTAGGGTGGGGGTCGGTTAGGTAGGGTAGGGGTGGGGTCGGGGTGGGGTAGGGTGGGGTCGAGGTAGGGTGGGGTAAGGGTAGGGTGGGGTCGGGGTAGGGTGGGGTCGGGGTAGGTGGGGTCGGGGTCGAGGTGGGGCAGGGATAACAATAGGTTACGGGCAAGGGGTAAATTCGGAAACTGAAAAAGCTTAAAGTGCCGCTTAATTAATCCATGGGGGGTGGTATGCTTAATAAGCGGCACTTTAAGCACCTCTTTCGGTTAGTAAGCGGCTTTTTAAGCAGTGTGCGTGTTTACTTCACCTGTCTTACTAACCTAACTGTGACTTTAGCAGTGAAGTAAACACCTCCTAAGTGTTCGTTTGGTGATTTCTAATTTTTGGCTTATCAGAATTATCGGGCAACTTTTTCACCAAATATGTAACTTTTAATTTAGTGCACTGGATTGTGGGTAATAATAAGATAAGATGATGTTGAAGTTACTTTTCTGGTTGAATTGGTTGAAGTTATCGTAGATGATGATTTTAGTCGTTTTTTCATATAATTAATTTTTTCTTTATTTTATTAATAAAATATATTTTAAATGTAGTTTTTCCATAAATGATCCTATTTATCCAATACTACCAATTTGTGTATTACCAAACGGACTCTAAAAGTCACCAAATTTCTATTATGTTCTTAAAAAAGAAATAAAATCGAACCAAACTAAAATATTCCATTAATCTTTAATATAATTTTAGAACATCACAAATCCAAATCGAATCAAATCAAACTGAGACATAGTACTATGTGTGATTTTTCTTGGTTCACAGGCAGTGGTATAACCGCATCAGACCATTATACCGGTATAATATTAAGAAAACTTCTTATGACTTATGAACACCATTGGCAGATAAGAAAATTAATTCAAAAACGAATTCTTTGTCTCGATATGATTTATGTGGTTAAACAACGCATAAGTTATTTAAACAGTATTAGTGGATAGGTACCTTTTAAACTCTTTATTTTCAAATAATTTGATCAAATTTTATCCTTTTTATTTTCAAATAATTTTCCTTTGATTTGTCATTTCTTACGCTTTAATGTACTAATACTTTTTCTTGGAGAACTTCAATTATAAAATCAAAGTTATTATTTCCATGGTGAAAACTCTTAGAAAGTAATAGATTTAGATGTCGTGTATGTATTAATGGATTTTTTTTAAATATAAATTAGCCGCAATGCCTACACAAGCCCCCCCCCCCCCCAACACTAGCAAAACAAATTGCCCCGCTACACCAACGATAAAAATTTTGCCCCCTTAACTTGAAATCCTGAATCGTCTCTGACTTCGATCCCTCAACCCTAAATTATCTTTCAAAGTGGGTTTTGCACGGGAATTAAGAAAGTGAAAAATTGTGTGTTGGAGAGTTGCACCAAAGAGAGATAAATGTGTGAGATTGTGTAAAACATATTGTGAACCATAAATTGTTTGCCTAAAAAGAAAATAAAGACACTATGAGGATACAATTTGTTATGCACGGTCATAATATGTACTATGTAGTTGCCCACTACATACACGGTCATAGCCAACTCCGTCACTTACTCACCGTTAAGGAAGGGGGTGATTGCCCTCCTCTTTCTGATTTTATAGCTTTTGGCACAAAAATAAAGTATAAGGGCATAAGTTCCCTATGGGGACAACTTCAAGGGGCTTTTTGCCCCTTTTCCCATTAAAGAAACATAATTTTAGGTTTTACATCCGTCCAATGGCTCCCCCCTCCATTCCATCTGCCTTAGGATGGGTGGGTTCGGTTCTTTCGGTCCGGTTTTTACCTAAAATCAAATACGGAACCAAAGTAAAAGTTCGGTTCGGTTTCGGTTCGGTTTTACACTCCAAAACTCGGAACCACAGTTTGATTGGTTCGGTTTGTTTCGGTTCAGTTTCAGTTCTTTCGGGTTTTTACCAAAAATTTGTCATTTGATTTAAAATTGATATAATAGTTGGAGGGATCAAACATATTACTTGAGCTGTCAAACGGGCCAACCCGACCCAACCCGCCCCGACCCGTGACGGGTTATGCTTTATGTGGGTTGGGTCGGGCCAACCCGTTTAATGACGGGCCAGAATTTCTACAACCCTAACCCAACCCGCCTTACCCACGAGTTAAACAGGTTGGCCCGCGGGCCGTTGCAAAAAATATATATGAAAAAATTATTCTTTAAAAATAATTACTCTTAAGTATATATTTATATTAGTAAGTAGTAGTATATGAAATATAAGAAATCAAAATACTAAGAAATTAATACTTGTTAAGTTTATTTAAAAAAATATGTAGTACTACGTATTAAATAATACTACGTACTTCATACTAGTTATACTAGAATTTGAAAACTATTAGAGTGTATGTAGCAAGAATACTCATTCTATAAAAGCAAATATGTACTTAAACTTTTTGAGTGATTATTTGTAAATCATGACTACTAATTATTAAATGATAGATCGAACTTTACATAAAATATACTATGTATGTTTCAACAATTTATTTGAATATTTATTATAGAACTAATAATTATTTTGCAATGAATGTAATTTTTAATTATAATTATAATAATTTTGATAATAAAAGAACAATATTTAAGATAATAATTATCAAAATAATATGTTTGTATATTGGCCCGCGGGCCAACCCGCAACCCGGTGGGCCAACCCACTTAAACCCGCAACCCGCGTGGGTTGACCCGCGAAACCCGCGAACTAAATGGGTCAAAAAATCACAACCCTAACCCACCAATAAATGGGTTTAAACGGGTCAGCCCGCGGGTTTCGGCGCATTTTGACGGCTCTACATATTACATAAAAAAAATACAAGCATACTAGAATAAATGAAGTAAAAATAAGAATAAAAAACATGTCTTTAATTATATGAGTATGCAGGAGAGATATAAGTGTATATATTCTTAATTTACATTGTTTGTGACTAGTTTGAAAAAAGTTCATGAATACATACATCATATGTGATATAGCTGAGATGAATATTTATTTGTTTTATCAATGTAAAAAATGTAAGTTACATAAAAATATAATTTAATTACTACTAATAACCTTTAAAATTAATAATCATGCAACAAATTGCAACATACATACATAAATAAAAGACATAATCAATCAATATAGCTACATTATTATGGGCAAATGAATGAGTAAATGCATTTATAAACTAAACATAACATAAACATTATTTTTGTAGCACAAAAAAAATCAAAGACTATTGATGATATTAGGATTAATGATTAAAAATTAACAAATAAAATTTCATTTTTTAATTAGTTCGGTTTTGTTCGGTTCGGTTCGGTTTTGAAGGGTAAAAACCAAAATCGAACCAAACAACTACGGTTCGTTTTTATATTCGGTTTTGGTTTTTAACAGTTCGGTTTTATTTGGTCCCGGTTTGGTTTTATGCCTCAGTCATCGGTGAAGTACACCTCCCGTTTAGTTCATCTCCGTCGGAGTTCTGACTCCCCTACGCGCCCTAATCTCAATGACCTGCTCCCATCGTTCCCGTTTGTGGCGCCAACCGTCCAAGTATCTTTCCTTTTTTTTTCCTTTTCGTTTCTCCTTTTCTGACTGAACTTTGCTCACCCCTTTTCATCATTAATATCCCAAATTATTATGTCATTGACTACATTCTTATTCATTTAATCAGTTCTGATGCGCTTTGGGAAAAACTTCCACTCTTCCTCACCGTATTTGCACTGTAGGAATCCTCTTTCTCAGTTTTCTTTGCCCTTGAATGTGATGGTTTTCACTTTCTTTTGGTGTTTTGGTGCTCTGTTAATTACTCTCCCGTCGGCAATCCTCTTTCTTTACTTTGTTTGCTCTCACTGTGATGCTTAACAATTTCTTTTGGTGGTTTGCTGATCTGTTAATTACTCCCTGGTTTGCAAAATATTAGTTAAGAATGGACTAAAAGCGTCCTTGGGGTGATCTCGTAGTTCCTACGGGGTGGAGATGATGGGGTAGGATTTAGTCTGACTGAGGAAGAATGAATAATGGCATTTAGTCTAGGGTCTGCTTTAAAACAAAGGTAACGCATGGCAGGTAGCTAGGGCTGGAATTTAGGCAGATTCTCTACAATGTCAACCATAAAAAATTCCATCTCAGTAGATTCCCTTGAACAGTATAAAATGGTTAGTCCATGTGAATAAGTAAACATGAATTAAACTCCTTCAGAAAATAGCCTGCTGGATAAAATTGAACAAATATATAAAAGCAGGGGTGGATCCAGAAATTTGAGATGCCTTGGGCTGAATAGAAATTATAATAGGTTTGAATATTAGAGGGGTGGGCTAAACGTGAAAAATGAAAAGATTTACACTAAAAAAATTGAAAATTTTTTAGGTTGCCATGGGCTTCAGCCTACCATAGCCCATGCATAGATCCTCCCCTGTTAATAAAAGTCATATTAAACCTTCCATGTTGTGGAAATTTTGTTTTTGATTGGTCATGGACAGGGATTAGGAATCCATTGGTTATTTATGTGGAACACATAGAGCTCAAGTGTAAATAATTTCTTCTGGCTATAGAGGTTATACAAAGTACACAGCAGCTTTAATTAGTCTCTAAACAAAGGAAAAACTAAAAACTTGAGACTTGAGAGGCAATCTATTCCATACGACTGAAGGTTCCAAATCGATATGCCAAGTCATTGACGTTTATTGGTTTGAGATTTTCAAATTCAGGACAATCTACAAATATACCGGCATTTAAGTAAAAAAAAAATAAGCGCAAGGCAAAAAGTTAAACATAAAATTAAATAGGAAAATTATTCTTTAATAAAGTATTAATGGAAGATCAACAATATTTATAGATGGGTATAGTAGTAGTTCATATGCCTAACTGCTAAGCAGAGCATGAACTAAGGGGGCAAGGAATTGACAAGCTCTCACAGTTTATTAAGTAAACTACAAAAACTGCACACTCAAAGTCTATGCCAAAATGCTAAGTGATTCAGGTTGTATTTTCATTTTCCATAAGGGGATTAAAGACTAAGTACGTACTGGATCATTGAATAAAAAAGGGTTCTTCCTGTGACAGTATTTGATTTTACTAAACCCCAAAGATGTCAACAAAACATATAGTATACACTAAACCATTGCTTTTTTGATTGACTTCATTAACTCATTTTCAATAACACCCCCTAATATTGTTTGACCAAATCCTTTTCACTAACCATTGAAAATGGTTAGTCATTAGCACTCCTATCAAGTATCAAACTTCAATGTAACATACCTTCAATATAATTTTGTATTTAAGAATAACACACACAATCCTACAGTGACCTTCTAATATCTATTTCTTTTAAACTCATTTAAAGCATATAGACCCCAATGTAAATGAGTCACCTTAGTTAAATAACTAGAGCAGTTCAAATATAGGTGCTTGCTGAATTTAAGGCTTCATTTTTTGTAATGAAGTTAAGTGCATATATCTACTTTGTTTAATGAGGGAGGGGTAGGAGAACATGTTAATCGTAGTTGTTATAAAAATGAGTCAAAAGCTTGGCCAAAATCTTAAGTATGAAGAAGGCCACCATAGACTTTGCAACCCTATTAAAGCATCTTCTTATGTCTTTTAGCTATAGAATTCCACTACTTAACCACAATTTTTATGTCATTGAAATAGCTTGTGTTCTTGTATCAAAACAGAAACAGGTTAGTTAGAGCCAAATCCAATCTTTTTACAAATGTATGAGCTTCTCTCCCGCTCTATATCTTTTGCTACTGAAATTGCTTTATGTTCTCCTACAATTTCTTGGATTCCCTTCCTAATTGCATCTATACCAGATTGAGCCTACCTTGGCATGCTTAAGAGTTAAACCCACCCACACAGTGCTTTGTAGAAAACTGCTTTAGAGGTGTCTATATAATGCTAAATCGATCTTTCTTTTCAATCTTACTGAATTTGAATAGTCCTTTGCGGCTTTGCCTCTCCTGTGGTGAAACATGCTTGTATATTGCTTCATCTGTAACCTCTCTCAGCTGACATGCGAAACAAAAGATATACACTGGGCCCGTTTGGATAATGGTGGTTGCATTAAAACACTGTTTTTTTTAAACTACAAGCGCTGCTTTTATCAGCGTGTTGGTGCTGAACCGCTGAAAAACAAACAGGGGCACTATTTATATGTTTTATTTATGTATACTACTATGCATTTTAATGGCTACTAATACCAGTATGCCCCATAAGGGACATGGGGGCACATGGTTTCGTCCTTGTATTGAAAATGATAATCCTTTTTAAAAGAAGTAATAACATAGTACAAAAGTTTTATGGTCGCTTCTTATAAGTGCATCCCCCAGTCACTCCTTTTTTGGTCATTTATCTGCAACTAAGGAATTTGTTATCTCATGATGAGGTTTAAAAAATCATTTTTCAGCTTTTTACTTCAAAAAGAAAATGAAAATGTGATTTCACATAGGTGCTTATAATTAAAGTAGTTGTTCCGTGTCGTTTTAGTAAATCTGGAGACATTTTATGATGGAGAAAGAATAATGTTAAGTAATTTATTTAGTTATTCCATGTGATGCGGTTTATTAACTTTATTTTGAAATCTGAAAAGTAGAAAAACTAAACACGAATTAAACCTTCTATTGTTGACTGCACTCAACTCCTTCAGAAAATAGCCCGCGTTTATTTGGGGCATACCACTCCCTTCTTTTCCGATTTTAAGTGTGTCATGCTACCATAGTCCCGTGTTTAAGCGAATGATAGTAGATAGTGCAGAGTATGCTTGGGACACAGAATCTTTTGATATTTTTATTGGCTTGTATTGCCTATACAACCTAAAAGTGGATCCTGGATTATTGCCTATATTTTTTCTCCAGTTTTACTCAACTAAAAATCTCTGTTAGGAGTGTGTTCCAAATCAGGATACCTTGGGCCTCTCTTTCTGTTTTGTGAAGCCATTTGTGTGAATCTTACAAAGTCTTCTCCATATATACGACTCAATAGGTTTGATTTAACTGTAACATTTCTTACAGGCTACCATGCATGTAGCCTGTAAGATTGATTAGTTATTGGTAATAAGGCAAAATGCTAGAAAGAAATAGTACCAGGAACTTACAAATACGCTAGGAAACACAACTCACAATAGATTACCTGCTCTAAGAACAGATTTTTATGTTTAAGATTAACAAAAGTACATCATTTTTGTAAAAAACCGAAACAAAACAACAATACATCACTGCATGAATAGTCACAATCAGTTCATTCCTGTTTTCAATGTGCAATTAAAATCAAACCCAACTATAAAATAATTTTTCCGCAGTCATTTCAAAAAGTGGCTATAATGCCATAGAGGAGGTTAATAAATACACTTAGTAAAATGAGGTTGGAGCAATAAGACCTACAGTAAAGTTCAACAACACCAACAACATCCAAGCCTTATTCCCAAAAGATTTTAGGGTCGGCTAACCTGAATCAATCCATGTTAGACATAAATGATTATGAGGTAAGGCCGAAATGATCTTTTCAAAACAATCTTTTGAAAATATAAAAATTAATGTGACGTCTTCCTGAGTTTGTAAGTGAATAAGTAGATTATGAGTTGACAGGTTTAAGAGTTAGGACGTAAATACATTTGATCAACTCTTACTTTTTATCTTTGCTTGCCTACGTTTATTGATTTATATTTCTTGTATTTGCTCCATAGCCTTTCCCTTTGTTTAAAAAAACATGAAAATGTTATGTCCTTAAAAATTTGTAAGATGGGTAAAATAAATTTGGGATGTATACTTATTAATTGATAAGCCTGTGCATTGCATTACTTACAAGATTTTGCTTTATATATCCCCAAAGACTTCAATCAATAATTAATATACGCTTTGTTTTGGATTCAAAATTTTATAGGCATGACCTTGACATGTTGGCCATGACTTTATCATTTTTAATACTTCGTTCACAAAAAGAAATTGTCGTTTATATGTGATTGGTTCATAGATGTATTCATTTTTTCAAATGATACTCACTTCAATTACATGTTCTTTCCTCCAATCTTTTGTAACTGTGTTGAATTGCTACACTCATGTATATCCATAGGAAATAAAAAACTTCGTGCAAATGGCGTAAGAAATATTATATTGGGCATTTATCATATTGCGCAACGCGCGTGCAGTAACTAGTGTAATATATAAGCACATAACTTGAGCCATGCATAAATATATTTCGAGCTAGCAGGGTGTGAGTGTATATGTGAATATGATGAACGTGAACAATTGGAGTGCTGAATAAATTATAGTGAAGCAGATAATACATTAGAAGAGAAAAATTATATCTAGGAAGAAGTAGTTATGAACTATAAAGAGAGAGGAGTGGTGATGGGGATGAGATTATATTGGGAATTATTTTTATCAATTCACTCAGTATAGATTATTATTACAGAATGCTAATGATAGGTAACGGAGGAATCCCAGTCTTTCTTATAGAACCCTATTATTGAAAAACATTAAAATACTTAATAGACCCAAATAAATGATAGTGTCCGGTTCTTAACAGCTAAAAAGTGTGAATTATTTATGAGTTTCACCTAAATAATACTCTGTATTATATTAATTACTAATATGAGAGCATGTACAATGAATCAGACGTTTGTGGGGCCATAGCGGTTGCAAGCACAATAGAATCACTGTACAACCTTCAGGTAGAAGAAGTTGACAAGGAGGCGTTCTCTCCCCAAGACTTCATCAATTGTGCATATTCCACTAAAGGCCGTGGAGATGATAAAAAGGCACAGAATGTTGAGATAGTTCCGGTGAAAATCTTGAGCAAATTATATAAACACGCTCGAGATGAGGGTTTAAGCAGGGAAAGGGAATGTCCATTCCAAAATGGGATCAAATTTCCTTGCAACAAAAAGAAAAGTGTAAGATCTATTTTTAAGCCAAATAGTGTACACAACTAATGTGTCCTTTTGTTTTTAATATAGCAAGTGTAATTAACCATGCATTTTCATTATTGTTTCATAGCCTCAACTTGCACGATTAGGCAACATCTTCGATGGAGAGTTGACAGAAGAGGAGTTGCTGAAATTGGTGGCAAAACACCCCGTGAACGCAGTGGTTGAAATGGACTATGCTTTTATAAAGTTGAAGAAGGTTTGGTTTAACTAGTTTAATTTTTTCTATTGAATTTATGATTTTATAGAAAGAGTGTAACTAACCTTTTATTAAAATTTTAAATCTCAACCTGACATTTTTTTTGTGATTTAGTCACACATAATGGAGTTTTAGAGTTACATTTGAAGGTAAATGTGAATCTTGCATGTGATTAGACTATTACATTAAAGACTACTATGTTTACACTGAATAATTCCTTGATGGTCTTGTAGTCTTGTACTCTTATGTTTGGTTGGTTATACTAGATGAAAATAAGTATAATTAAACCATAACACACTTCTTCGAAAATAATAATACCCTTTCTTCGAAATATAGCATACGGTTTATTCAGAATCTGTCTCCATAATAATGGATTGTCAGCCACCTAATTTAGTTATCAGAAGACTTCTGTGTATTGCATTAACTCCAATGATGATAATGTTGATGTAAGCGATTTACTTACAGAGGAGTTCTCTCTTCATACTCCCTTCAATTCCACAGCTGTCACTCAAAAATTTCTATGTTAAACCTTGGGAGGAACCCAAATGTTCCACAGGAAACTGTAACACAATAGCTTCTCATGGTGGACTGGTTCCTGCATCGGTTATTCATGCTCTTTTTTTGAGTTCAAAAGTACCATCAGTAGATAGATTCCAAAGAATGTTATCTTCCTTGTTACTACGTAGTAATTTGTAAAAAACAGATTATAGCAAATTGGCAATCAGGTATTTCTGATTGCTGAATTTCAAAACATTCTGGCTTCACAATATCCCAGGATCTTGATTCCAATATTCGTGGACTTTCTCATTAAGAAGAATATAAGTACTGCTAGCCCACTCTAATTCTCCTTGGAAGCCACAAATCCAACCAAAAGTAGACATCACCTTTGCCAATTGCCTTAAGCCACTTTTTTTTTTCTTTTCTATAAGACTTGCTCTTATTTTGTGTAGATTTATGATAGAGTCTATCCAGTACATAGAGTAATTAACAGGAAAACGTCACAAAGATATATCAAGAACAAGATCTGCAACTTTATTGAAGAACAAGAAATTCTGGCCGAAGCCCCAAATGAGCCGAAGCCCCCCAAAGGAGAGAGAATAATCTCAATCTTCCCAGCAAAGACTAAACAGTCAAAACAGCCCCCCTTCCCCTCCCAGCCTTACTTGAGTTACTTCTATTTATAGCAGTCCAGCAACTGACTTTATTTAATATCTATTACAGAATTTTAACTAATAGCTACTAGTCTATTTATTAGTCTAATAGGTTGGTCCCTATCAATACTTCCCCCTAAACATCCACCTTGTCCTTAATGTGGGTGATAGGAGAAAGCCAAAATCTTCTGCTTCCTCTTCCTTGTTCCTCTTCCTTCCCAATATCTAACTGGTTGATGGACTAGGGGCTTCAGTACGAGATCTTTTAAAATCACAGAACTTTCAGCAACAGAAAGTGAATCTCCAATTGGTTCAGTCACCTCTCCCCACTCCATATAAAAAATTATTTCTTCACTTTTCTGCAGCCCCTCATGATTTCTATGTTCTGAAACTAATACTGTACTGAATGCAAACTCCTTTATGCACCTTTCAACCTCTCCCCCTTTCACTTCTTTGCCTACCTTATTTGAGAAGGAAAGCCTCAAAGGTTTTAGCAGGTAAGTAAGGATACACATTATTCCAGTTGCAGTTCTCCTAACTAAGGAACAAGAAAGCCTATTATCCATGTAAAACTTCCAAAGTTGGTTTTCTTGAAGGTAGACAGATTCTTCACCAGAAGAAAACATTGCACTTTTCAAGCCTTGTTTCAGTTTCACCTGTGCATTTGCTTCAGCTTCCAATCCATTAACATTAGCCTGAGTAGTAGGATCCAGGGCCACACTGATTGTATCCAATGTCATCCCCTTTTTCCTTGTTAAGTTGCCCCGGAATAGTACAACACCTTCACCCTTAATGGTTTGGTCATGACTGTCAACTATTTCCCAAATGCCCTGAATATCTTGATCCCATGAACAGCAATTGCCATATAAAGCCTATAGTTCAAACCTGCACATCCCCTTTGAACAGGTCTACAAACTATTGGTGTACCCTTACCTTGTGACCAATGATCCATGCCTCTTGGAATATAGCAGGACTGTTTTCATTGTTAAGCATCAGAAATATGTCAGCCTTATCATCAGTAGCATGGTCCTCCTTTCCTTTCCAATTTTGAGTAACTCTTACCCCCAACTCATTTAGAATATACCTTATAAAAGTAACACCCTCACATCTTAAACTATCAAACATGTTAAATGACTTCATTCCTTCCAAAGTAATGTTTAATGAATGGCAGTACATCATTTCAGATTTTAAAACATTAAGCCAGTTCATCTCCTGTATGAAATTAGAAGTCATTGTGGACCTTCCCACACAAGCTGCAGTATCACATGCCTGAAGAATCTTGGAAATATTGGTTCCCAATTCTGACTTGACAAGCTCGTACCTGGAGGGGTTGTTACGAGTGGGGAAGCAAGTAATTGCTCCCGCTACAGGTCCATTGTTAACTGACAATTTCTCCTTAGGTTCCTCGTCGCCATAGGTGTGCGTATCTTCCGAAGAAGTTTTCTGATGATTGATCGAGCCCTGTTGTGAATCTGGGAACTCAGATAGCGATTGTGAACCGGATATTTCTGCTCCCGTCAAAAGCAGAGGACCGGAAGAAGTTTCTTGCGAAACGATTTGAGACGAAGAAAACGAACAGTGAGACTCAACTGTCGAAGAAGATGACGATTCTCCTCTCACTCGCGTCTCTCTTGGACGCGAACTCATAGCGGGTGAGGAAGTCTGCGAACGGAAAGAAACTCTTCGCGGCTGCGAACTCTGAGAAGAAGTTCGCGATTGCTGACTCTGAGAAGAAACTGTTCGCGACTCTGCCTGCGATAGCGAATGATGCCTACTGTTCCTCGGTCGTTCGCCAGGTCTACTGCGAAACCTTTGCTCTCCCGATACCTCTGAACTACTGGAATGTTGCGTATGTTGATGATGAGAAATGCGATGATGCGATCGACTCTTCGAATGACCGGAATTTCTGTTCTGAAGATCCGCGATGCTAGTTTGCATAGCGACCAACATCGTCTTCATATTATCATACATAGCATTCGATTCCCTCAGGTTTCTTTCTATCTCCCTCTCCAGCGAATCCATCCTCTTCTCCATTTCTGGTGTACAGAATTCTTCCATCGCTCCAGGTAGTTAATATTCTCAATCGATTAAGATCCTTTGCCTCCAGGAAGTGAGTGCTCTGATACCAATGATAGAGACTATCCAGTACAGAGTAATTAACAGGAAAATGTCACAAAGATATATTAAGAACAAGATCTGCAACTTTATTGAAGAACAAGAAATTCTGGCCGAAGCCCCCCAAACGAGAGAGAATAATCTCAATCTTCCCAGCAAAGACTAAACAGTCAAAACAACCCCCCTTCCCCTCCCAGCCTTACTTCTATTTATAGCAGTCCAGCAACTGACTTTATTTAATATCTATTACAGAATTTTAACTAATACTCCGTAGCTACTAGTCTATTTATTAGTCTAATAGGTTGATCCCTATCAATCTATCTGTAGAATTTTATTTATTTTCTCTCATAATGCTTTCTCATTTAATACTTCTAATTAATAGGCGTGGATACTCTCTCATTTGCCCATTAAGACAAAATTTAAATTTAATACTTCTAATTGATAATATTGAACTTATTGGCATCGTGTGTTTTCATTGTGCAGGATGTGATATATAAAAAAGATGAAATTAAGAAATGTGAATATGAAAGTAGTAAACAAAGTAAAAAAAGCAAAGACAAAGCAAAAGCGCCGCAAAACCATTCAGTATTAGAACATGCGATTGTAGTTGCCGGCTATGGTACTAAGAAAGGGGTCAATTATTGGATCATCAGGAATTCCTACGGCACTACTTGGGGTGATGGCGGCTATGGTCTTTTAATGAGATCGTCTTCTTCAAATAACTCTTCTGTTTTCAAAAATGTTTCTTTTGCAGAGGTATGAATTTTACTAATACTAGTATTACATATTACTTATGAATTATTTTAAAGTATATTAAGTGAAACATTATTGATTTAATTTCATGTCTTTTAGATCATAGTGGACAATAGGAAAAGAAAAGAGCCCGAGTCAACAACTTTGACAAATTTCTGGAATTCATGGTTCAAAAGGCAAGGTGAGAAAGAGATGAAGATGCAGAAACTTAGATGAAGAGCATGAATGTAGGGAGAAGGGCCACAAATGACACCAAGGTTTTTAATGAATCTCGGATAGGACACTCAGGTTTATGGTGGACCAAATAAACACAAATTTAAACTTTTACCTTTATTTTTACCCACCCACTAACATTGCCGTTTCAAAGACCGTTTCCCAGCTCAAAGACCCATTTGCCGTGCGATTAAACACACAACTCCCGCAACCCTAATTTTCAATAGAACACTCGACTCTTCAAAATGTTGTGTGTGTTCGTGCTTTTTATTCTGGGGCTAATGAAATCGTCGGAGACAGCGCCATCTCAATGGGATCCTCTGCTGAACAGGGACAGAATGGATCGATCTTAGATCTGCGTGGGTTAGTTGCAAAAGAGGAAACGCGAGCCACAGATGATGAAACGACTGAAGGATCTGCACGGGACATCCAAAATGATGACTGGCCGGAGAGACAAGGTTGTGGCGGCGACTGTGACTTTCCCGCTGTAAAGACGGCACAAATTCAGCGAGGCAAGACGGCAGTCGCAGGCAGAATACACAGCTTCCTCAGAAATGGCAAGGAAATTTCTAGAACGACAACTAATTGGAAACAATCTGTGGTTGGTTGGGTATGCATTCCAGTAATTATTTCTTTTATTGGTTATGCATTCCAGGGAATTGATTTTGTGGGTTTTGCTCAAAAGTTGGTTTTGATTTGCATTCTGGCTCAAAGGTTGGATCTTGTAAATTGTGGAAGAACTTTAGAGCCGAAGAAAATGATGAAAATAACAAAGAAAAAGAAGATGGTAATGGAGAAGACAAGGTGGACGGCCGTTTAACGGCAATGTTAATGGGTGGTTAAAACTGAGCATAAAAGTTGAAATTTGTGTTTATTTGGTCCATTATAAACCCGAGTGTCCTATTTGAGATTCATTAAAAACCTTAGTGTCCTTTTTGGTCATTCTCCCCATGAATGTATTCAAATCTTTGAAGATACTTTCATATGTGATTAGTACCATGTTTTTGCTTGATAGAGTTCATCCGTATAGTACTATTCATGGCATGCCTCATATTAGTATTTTGTCCTTTGCTGATGACCTCATTATTTTTTCTAATGCTGAGAAAAAGAACTCTTGAGTCCTTGAATCAAACCATAATTGATTATGAAAACTTTTCTGGGCAACTTATTAGCAAGGAGAAAAGATTCTATCTTATATCTAAACATGCTAAAACTCACTCCTGGACAATTGTTGACAATATTTTTTAAAATTAAAAGGGGTGCTTTTCTTTTTAATTATTTGGGTTCTAATATTTCTACTGGCAGGTCTCTTAACATCTATTTGAGCATATTTTATGTAAGCTTTGTGGGTGGAAACATAAGCTGCTTTCTCCTAGTGGTAGGATCATTCTTATTTAGCATGTGCTTAGTACCCTTCCTTTGTATCATATGGCTGTTCTCCCCTTCCCAGACACATTATTCATAACATAGTGAGTAAACTCTCTAATTTCCTTTGGGATAGGAATCTTGATGTAAACTCTCTACATATACGGCGTAGCTGGCAGAAAATTTGTTACCCTGTTTCAGAGAATGGGTTGGGTTTTAGAAGCTTATCCCATATTCAAAATACCTTTTTCCTTAAATTGTGGTGGAAGATTAAAAACAATACATGTATTTGGGCTAACTGGTACAATGCTTTAAGAGATGATACTAGATCTGTGATGTATAAATCTCTTAACTCTATGATCCAGGTCTTTGAGGCTAACTGTTGCATTAAGGTTAATAGTGGTACCAACTCTTTTTGGTTTTCTAATTGGTGTGATGTTGGCTCTATTTGTCTGTATTATGATGACATTCCTATCCACCTGAGCAATCTCATGATTCGAGATGCTATGTCTGATACCACTTTGTCCTCCTCTTTATATAGAGCTGTCTGCCCAGATACATTGTGGACGGTATCAAAAATACCAAAATCCACTTCAACGATAATGAGGACAACTATATTTTAGGAAACCTAACACGAATGGCCAATTCAATTTTAGAGACAAACTCAATGATAATGGGATTTTTATGGACTGTCCTTTCAGTAAAATGGTGTGGACTCATTTTGAAAACTTGTTCAGTGTCAAACCAAATTCCACAAATACTTTTCAAACCTATCTTTTGGGGTGGTACAATGACCTCAAAAGGGGCATTTCAAATATCAATTATGTGCTCCCTAATGCTATTACTTAGAACCTGTGGAAGATTAGAAATAAGCTAATCCATGATGATACTAAGGATTTCTTACCTTAGGCGGTCCAAGATATAAAAACTGATATATTGGCCATATCTGGGTAGGGTTGGACTCGGGCCGGGCGGCCCGAACCGGAACCGGCCCGGCCCGGTCACTGTTTGAACCGGCCCGGCCCGGCGGCCCGGCCCATGGGCGGTTCGGGTCGACCCGGCCCGGTGGCTACCGGTTCCGGGCTCGGGCCTTCATTTTGGTGAACCGGCCCGGCCGGTCTGGGCCCGGTTCGGGCCGGATTTAAATTTTTTTTTTTTGAATTTTTTTTAAGTTTTTGGGTTAGACTGGGTATTTTGGACCATTTGAGGTGGTTTGGGGTGGTTTGGGGTTGAGGGGGAGGGTAAGGGGTTGATTAGGAAAACCCAAAAAAAATATATATATATATAGACCAAACCGGGCTTGGCCCGGCCCGGCCCGGCCCGAACCGGAACCGGGATTACCCGGGCCGGTTCGGGCCTCCCCTACCTTGAACCGAGGCCCGGCCGGTTCAAGGCCCGAACCGGGCCCGGCCGGTTCAAGGCCCGAACCGGTCCACCCCTAATCTGGGGTGAACCCTTTTGGAACTGTTAACCCTTAAACCCCCTTTAACATACACACTATCCTTCCTCACAAGACAAGACACGGCCCTTTGCTTAATACGAGGAATAAGCTGATTCATAACTACCACAAAATTAATCTTTCAACTCGGCTTATTACTCCTAATCTCGTAAGATCTGCTGCCCTTATTCGTGATGACAGTGGTAACTACACTAGTCACATAACGTCCATAGCCGCAACCCTTGACATTACTATGACAACTTATGATGCCATCATTGATACTCTCCAAGCCATTCCGAAAATCAATTTGACTAACTTTGTGCTTGCGGTTGATAAAAGAGAAGTCTATGAAGGAATCATGGAAATGAGGAAACAACATCAGATTCAGACCATTAAACGCAAGCTAAAGTCATACAATTGGAGTCTTACACATTCATCTGGCAATCAACAAGGCTGCTGTTTTTTATGCTTATAAGAGCACTTCCATAAAAACCAAGAATCGTCATTTTAATCATTTTGTTGGTATTTTAAAGTTTGATGCATTTAGTTATCCCTATGTAATTTGATTTTGAGTAGGTTTGGCCCCCCCTACTCTTTGTATTCCTTTTTCTAATAAACAAGTAGGGTCCTGGCCTCTACTCTGAAAAACCGTTTTCGGTAAACGGTTTTTTGGTTTGAATACCGGGTGAAAAAAATTATATATAGGATCAAATGAGAATCATGTTTAACGTGAGAACGTGAGAACACCACATTTACCCCAATGCGTTTCACAATGCCATGCTTAACGTGAGAACATGAGAACACCACATTTACCCCAACGTGTTGCACAACGAAGTTTGTTTATTGCACGTTTTTGCGTTTTCACAATATTTACCAAAATGCCACCCTATTTAATTATTTAATATGAGCTTAAGTCGAGCAAATTGAAAATGTGCAACAGAAAAGCTCATTTGTGCACCACATTGGTTTAAATGTGAGTGTTCTCACGTTAAGCATCGTTCTCATTGGAACCGCACCATATATATATATATATATATATATATATATATATATATATATATATATATATATATATATATATAGATAGATAGATAGATAGATAGATAGATAGATAGATAGATAGATAGATAGATAAGAGATCACATACTAACCATGCTTAAAATACTAACTTACTAACTCAATAATATGCAACACATTGAACTTCAATATGCAGTACAAATAATGTAAAGATGCACACTGTGAATTTCAATATGCAATAAAAACAATATGCAAAACTTTGAACTTTAATATGCAGTACAAATAATATGCAACACTTTGAACTTCAATATGCAGTACAAATAATGTAAAGATGCACCGTTTTTGATAGTTTGTAGGTTAGCATGGGAGGAATGGTTAGTATGTGATCTCACCCCTATATATATATATATATATATATATATATACACACATATATATATATATATAGAGAGAGAGAGGCCTGATCCTGTCCAGCCGGAGGGACAGGACCCGCCGTCCGGCCGTTGCCATTTGGGGCCCTTCCTGGTGGAATTTTTTGCTGAAATTTTTTGAGCATGTTTTTCATGAAGTCTAGTTTATCCATACCAAATTTCAGCTAAAAATTCAATCCGGAAGACAGTCAAATGAGTTTTGGAAGTTAACTGCGCAGTTTATATACATATAAAATGCAGTTATCTTCCAAAAATCATTTGAGTGCCTTCCCGGTTGAATTTTTAGCTGAAATTTGGTATGGATAAACTAGACTTGATGAGGAACATGCTCAAAAAATGTCATCAAAAAATTTCACCGGGAAGGGCCTCTGATGGCCTTGGCCGGACGGTCCCTCCCGTCCCTCCGGAGGGACCTGATCTTTTCTGTATATATATATATATATGTATATATATATATATATAATAGAGATCAAATACAAAGCCTTCTTAATTTACAAAGTACAAACTCATCTTGACCGTCCGATGAGTTGATCCAAGGGACATAAAGGCAAGGTGGCATTTTTGTAATAAAACTCAACTTTTTAGGGTGCAAATCGTTGCACCTTAATGTGCAACTGCTATTTTTATGACTTTATAATGTGCAATACTTTGAACCTCAATATGCAATGCAAATAACGTCAAGGTGCATCGTACAAATATTTGCACAATAAGCACACTTTGTACTTGATCTTTCCCCTATATATATATGCAACAAGAAAGATCAGGTCCAGCCCTCCCCGGTCCAGCCGCCGTCCGAACTCCGCCGTTTGGGGCGGTTCCCGGTGGAATTTTTTGATGAAATTTTTTGAGCATGTTCTTCATCAAGTCTAGTTTGTCCATACCAAATTTCAGCTCAAAATTCTATCGGGAAGGTCGTCAAATGATTTTTGCAAGTTAACTGGTCCGGAATATGTATTTTCCGGACCAGTTAACTTGCAAAACTCATTTGACAACCTTCCTGATCGAATTTTGAGCTGAAATTTGGTATGGACAAACTAGACTTGATGAAGAACATGCTCAAAAAATTTCATCAAAAAATTCCACCGGGAACCGCCCCAAACGGCGGAGTTCGGACGGCGCTTTCCGTCCCTCCGGCTGGACCTGATCACTTCTCTATATATATGTATGTATATATATATATATATATATATATATATATATATATATATATATATATATATATATATATATATATATAGAGCACTCTTCCGGTCAGGAATTCCTGACCGGAACCGCCGTCCGGACGGCGGCGTTTGGCCGCCTTCCGGGTGGAATTTTTTGATGAAATTTTTATGACATGTTCTTCATCAAGTCTAGTTTATCCACAAAAAAATTCAGCCAAAAACTCATTCGGGAAGGTCGTCAAATGATTTTTGCAAGTTAACTGGTCCGGAAAATACATATTCCGGACGAGTTAACTTGAAAAAATCATTTGACAACCTTCCCGATTGAGTTTTTGGCTGAATTTTTTTGTGGATAAACTAGACTTGATGGAGAACATGTCATAAAAATTTCATAAAAAAATGTCACCGGGAAGGAGGCCAAACGCCACCGTCCGGACGGCGGTTCCTGTCCGGAATTCCGGACATGAATAAAATTCTATATATATATATATATATATATATATATATATATATATATATATATATATATATATATATATATATATATATATATAGAGGAATGTTCATGTCAGGCCGGCCTGACGGGCTGCTCCGTCCGGCCGAGCCCGTTTGGGAACTTTCCCGGTGGAATTTTTTGATGAAATTTTTTGAGCATGTTCTTCATCAAGTCTAGTTTGTCCATACCAAATTTCAGCTCAAAATTCGATCGTTAAGGCATTCAAATCATTTTTTGAAGTTGACTGCAGTTTT